GATCTCAGCACCACCCTGTTCAGCATCAAACAGTGCACCCACCATCTACTACCTGCCTACTCCGACCAACATCCGGCCAAACCATCGGGAAGCGACTACGGGCCCCGCCGGACCTTGGTGGGATGATGCTGGCGCACCACCGTGAGAGGACGCTAGATCTGCCCTTTGGTTTTTGACTCAATGTATATAGCTCGCCGATATTGCCAGCTACAGAAAAAACATCCACAGTGCATTCATTTCCACTTTTCCACTCTCGGTTTCACTCTTCTCCCATATTTTGATTTCCACAGTTTTTCAATTTTCAATTTTACCCATGCTCAGTCCCGTCGTATTAGCTGTACTCTTGCAGTATTCTCAGGATTGGCCTTCGCCAGATGACTTCACTTGACGACTCCAGCCATTGTGGTTCAACAGTTTCAACGACTCATTGCCTTCAACTTTCTTTCTTTTGCAGTGAATTTCTTGTTCCCAATCATGGATGCGCATCAACAATGGTGGCAACACTACTACGGTACTGCAGCACCCAGTGCCGGCTATGGACCTTTAACGAATGCAGTACGTCATCACTACCAACATCCCTATCACCACCCTCACACAACAAACACGACCGACCATTCTGCAGCTCCCCCAGCACCGACCGCGGCGTTCCCTCCTGAACCCCTTCCCCCACCCCCGGCATCCAACCATCCAGCCCCTCCACCACTCGGCGTTGTACCCCCCAACATCCCCACACTACCAGACACATGGACACCCAGCGACACACACCTCGACACCAATACAGTCCATTGTCAGATTGTTCCGTACCATCCAGCCGACACAATGGTCCAGAAAATACAATCTGGCAGGACAACCTGTCTTGGACATCTTTCCCTGGCAGCTCAGTCGCTTTGGCCTTCAAGACCACAGCCTTCGTACCCTATCCCAAGGACGATACACTGGCGTTGTGACCACCAGGTCTATCGCAGAAGCAGTTTTCACCTCACAACTGTTGCCAGAGATGCGAGCCCACAATCTGGACATCGACAACATTGCTGAATATTTGCACCAACAAGCCAATCAATCCATTCCCAACAAAACAACTGATGCCAAGCAATTCATGCAACCACTCATTTCCCGTTTGATTGACTTCATAGGAGGCCTCACACCGCCCGCAGGTGAAGGTACAGCACTCCGAAAACTTCAGCGACAGACTGATCGCCTACACCAGCAAGAGAGCGAACTCCAGCGCGCTCGCGACAAATTGAAGACTCATGGCATCGCACTTACCCCGACCAAACCCGGAACACACCCCGCCCCATCATCAGCTTCCCAACCCCATCTCCTACTTACAGCCCCAGCAGCGCTCACAGCCAACACCATTCTTAACCTCACAGCTCAAACCTTACACGACAACTCACCAGCCAACTATGCGGCAGCAGGCATTCAGAAATGGCTCAAGACACTACCACCAGCCACACAGACACAAGTCACCAATATCCAGCAAATTCTTCGAGACGAACGTATCACAAAAGAACAGCTCCAGGAAGCAGCCACACGCTATGGCATCCCGCTCAGCCGGGTACTTAAGCTACCACCCCGTTCACTACAGCAGCTGGTGGCCGCAGGCTCGGCATTGGCGGCCTGACTCGCTCAACAAGGGCTGCGTCAGCCAACGCATCTCACTTTACAATCCTTGACCACACTTCACACAGCACTCTCACACTTTGTCCACTTCACACCCTACATTGACAAGACCCACGCGATCTTCTCGACCAGTCTTATTCACCTCACATGCCTCTTTGCGTTTCCATCTCAATTCACTTGTTTAGCTCTTTGTAGATCTGAAAATCCAGTTTATCCTCATGGACACATAGACTGGGTCCATATTTGAACGCCGAGGCTCCTTGAAGGAGATCTCTAGAGGCGGAAGCTGGTGACCAGCTCTTGCAAAGTGGCTGATTGGAAAGATACTATGACAGCACATACGGTAGTTGTAAACTGATTTCAAAAGTGTGGCAATGCTGCCTCTGCTAACATCAATGAACCAAAGAGTCGACTGCAAACCCATTGTCCCTTTTTCTCTCCTATAGCCAGAAGAGCATCTGCGTACAGTAAAAGATATGAAATAAGCAGACGGTTTGATATAAGGCTGTAAGTTTAGGTGTTTTTCAAGCTTGTTGAGCCAGGATTCTTGCTGGCGAGCTTGCTGTTCGGAAGGTCCTAGTCTCAGAAAATGGGACCATCGTTGAGGTTTCTGACTTCAATGGCCAAGAGCCATCAAAAGCCATCAAGGGTCCAGTAGAGGTGTCTTCTCACGCAGCATTTTCAGGTTGTCTGTCCCTGAAGTGGAGCCGGCTCATCAAGAGCCTGTTTCAATCCTGGACGGAGGAACGTTCCGCAGCTGCAATGAGTTGAGCCAACTGGGTTGGGTTTAGACGATTTGACAGCATACGGCGGCGCAAAAGATCCTTAAACTTATGCAGAGTCCAAATTTGCACATGAATCGTGAAGGGGCGGTGATCACACCGGTTTTTAAGTGGTTCCTGTCTTGAATTTATGCACATCACATCATGAAGCCTTGTGCTATGGCTTGAAGTCTATCTAAGGTTTGGTCGCTGGGATTTAGCGACGGCTGAACTTGTTAGACCTCCAAGCGCACACTCTGGAAGTGACAAGTCACTACAGGCAGCTTAACGCAGCTTAAGTTTTTTCTAAGATTCATCCTTATTCCTTCGGGCCATGTTGTTTCTAAACGCACGCGGGTGAGATTATTCCCCAGATAGCGAAGCTATGGGGTTCTTACTTCAAAAAACAATGAGTTGCCCGTGCGCGCTTTCGAGACAGGTTGCTGGTGCTGGTGCTGGGTGCCGGTGCTGGTGCTGGTGCTGTGAGCTGGCTGTGCACGTGGTGGAGACAGGTTGCTGGTGCCGATGAAGGTGGGTGCCGGGTGCCGGTGCTGGTGCTGTGAGCTGGCTGTGCACGTGGTGGAGACATGCTGGTGCTGGTGCCGGGTGCCGGTGCTGGTGCTGGGTGTCGGTGCTGGTGCTGGCGCTGGGAGTGCTGGTGCCTGGTGCTGGTGCTGGGCGCCGGGTGCAGGTGCTGGCGCTGGTGGTTGCTGGTGCGGGCGCCGGTGCTGGCGGTGCTGGTGCTGGGTGCCGGGTGCCGGCGCTGGTGCTGGCGCTGTGAGCTGGCTGTGCACGTGGTGGAGACAGGTTGCTGGTGCCGGTGCTGGTGCTGGGTGCTGGGTGCCGGTGCTGGTGCTGGTGCTGTGAGCTGGCTGTGCACGTGGTGGAGACAGGTTGCCGGGCGCCGGTGCTGGCCGGGTGCCTGTGCCGGTGATGGTGCTGTGAGCGGGCGCGCGTGGTGGAGACAGGTTGCTGGTGCCGGTGCTGGTGCTGGGCGCCGGTACTGGTGCTGTCAAGGGCTGTACTGTTTGCGCGCATACTTTTGTACGTACACTGTTCTATGCGCAACGTCAGGCTCTCAACCGACCATTGTTTCAGCATGTTTCAGCCTGCTACACACAAAATAGTCGTGCTGGATACTGCTTGGCCTTGGGCGAGTGAAGCCTACGAACTTTGCCGTTTGCGCGCACTCTTTTGCGCGCATAAACTTATACGCGCAAGATCATACGGCCCTATTGTTCTACAGATGTTTGCTTCAAGCGTGCTACAAAGGCAATAGTGGCGCTGGATACAGCTTGGCCTTGGGCCAATGACACTTACAGGCTTCGCTGTTTGCGCAAACTTTTGTGCGCATAAACTTATACGCGCAAGAGCACACTAGGGATAGCTATGGGGTTCTTACTGCAAACTTAATAAGAATGAGCTGGCTGCGCGCGCTTTCGAAGGGGTGTCAGTGCTGGTGCTGGTGTTGTGGTCCTGGGTGCTGGTGGCTGAGCGCGCGTATAAGACGGGCGGCGGTGCTGGTCGGGTGCTGGTGCCGCCCCCGTGTCAGCTGGCAAAGCGCAACGGTGCTGGTGTCAGCTGGTTGCGCGCACTGTAGAGGCGCCGTAAGCTGGCTGTGCGTGCAGGCTGTGTACATTCTTGTTCCGGCCAGTCGCATGTCAACAGGTCGTGGGATGCTGCCTAGCTATCTGGGTCTATGCTGGTTTAATTTGTTTTTTGTGCATGAATGTTGCTGCATGGGCGCGAAGGTGGGCACATCTAAGTTGGAGTCCATTTTCGCTGAGTGTGGTGAAGCGCAGCAATCGTGGCTCTTTCAGCAGCAGTTTGCCATCATGGGCTGCCGCTGCTGCCGCTACTAGGCGAGGAGCGACGAGCCTTCATGGAACCCTGGCCCCTGGCGAGAATCCTCCTGCCTGGCAGGCGGGGCACACCATTTTGGCAATCCTAACCCAGGCTTGGAGTAGCTTTCCCAGGGGTTGATTGAAAAACGTCGGGAGTAGAGTTGCGAAGACGGAGGCGAGGAAGAATGAGCAGAAGAGGGCAAAAAATTGTACGCCATGGCACCGTCAAATGGAGAGGGAGGAAAGAAGAAGAGGAAGAAGAGGAAGAAGAAGAGGAAGAAGAAGAGGAAGAAGAAGAGGAAGAAGAAGAAGAGGAAGAAGGAGAGGAAGAAGAAGAGGAAGGGAACCAGAATATGTGAGCAGAGTTGTCAGAGGTGCTGATTGTCATGGAGGGTGCGGTTCACGAGGTTTTGATTGTTCTTGTTGACCCGGGCAGTTCAACATGAATTGTGTTGATTTTTTGTCGCATCACAATTGCGTTGGTCATAGATAGAACACCATCAGATTTGCCCTCGGCTGATGGTTTGGGCACCGTTTGAACTACTTTATATACTGTTCTAGTTTCAGTTCGTAGCAGTGGTGAGTTTGGGTCGAAAGGGTCACAAAAGACAAGATGAAAACAACTGATTGCAACGAACCGATATCTTTGAGCGAGAAAGGCCAACGTAAATGTCAACTTTGCAATCAGCAGTTATGGCGCCAAGAAAGTCCATACCTGCAAAAAGCATGAACAAGTTGTTTCTATTTTTCATTGCTTTGATCCGCGTGCCAGGCTGCCCGGAGCAGCAATGCTTGCCCCAATTGCAATCGTGTGATTGAGAAGATTGGCGGGTGTGATGTCATGATGGGTGGGGCTGATGCCCATTCTGCAGGGCCTTCTAGTCGGGAGGGTTGCGGGCGTGAATTCAATTGGTCACCGGCTCGTCCTTACCAACCCAGCCTGCGTGAAACAAAAAGACCTCCAGGATTCTCGGCGATTGTTTCGTGGCTCGAAAGCACAGATGACTTCTCATCCCAAGAAGCAGTCCGTGCTGCCTGGGAAGCTTTAGAAGGTTTGAGCCAAGAAGACCGACGTTATGCTTTTGCCAATGCTGTAGCCTGCATGTTCTTGAAGGGTCAGCAGCAGCCGATCTTGGCGCAATCCTTGGTGTCCAATCGAAATCTGCAAACAGCCCTGGGCTTTGATGGCCATCCAGGTTTTGCTAGAGTAGCTTCGGTGCTATGCGATGCCTCCCAAGTGGACACCTCAACGAGTCTGGCAGCAAGTCTGCTGTTGGGTCGTGGCTGGGAGAGCGTGGGCAGTTCTCAAGAAACGCTCAAAAACACCGTGGCGAACCTTTTGGTGGCCATTCTGGGAGGCCCTGGCAATACCGCGTTTCCTATGTTTTTTCCAAAATTGTTTAATTAAGATTCTGATTTTATGAGAAGCGCAAGAAGAACCTTGGAGGTCCTGACAACAACCACTCGAGTATGCTCTTGCTGGAGCCCTTGGCCATGTTGAACACCTTCCCTGTGGGCTTTGTCTTTGGAGCTATGCCTGGCCCCGAGGGTTACCATTTCGATTGCGGTTGCGCCTTAGATGCTCAAGGGCGGGCTTTTGGAAACCGACCGCCGCTAGAGAGCTCACATCTTCATTTTGTCACTTGGCCGAAGTGGGAAACCGGGAAACAATATAGAGGAAATGAGTTGAGCTACATATTGTTGTAGAGAAGCATAGATGATGGGAGATAGAATTCTTTTTTGACTTCAACTCATGGCCCTGAGCATGTAAATGAAGTATCGCAGTCCTTCTTTTGGGTTGATAGGTGCTAGGGCTCATTGTAGCAGTAGTAGGTCGAGAGGGTTCGCAGCATGGACAGGTGAACTTCTGCAGTTGGGCAGCCCTTGCCATGGGGCTTTTGATCTTTCCGGAGAACTGCCGGCGAATCGAAGAGATTTTGACTTTCAGGCAGGGTAGGGGAAGGAAATGTCGCAAATCGGAGTTAATGACTTGGAAAGGCCCAAGATGTCCCAAGACGTCCAGACCAAATAACTTGAATTCAAACATCACAGGATTTTTAAAGATGATTGAAATGGTCACTGCCTGCAGACTTACACAAGCTTTCTGAGGCACATCAAGCTTTCTGAGGCACATCAATGAAGTTCAACCCTGTGGGTCGGATGTGGCCGAGTTTGCTTGCAGCTATGCCATGAACTTCGCCCTTCGCTGCTTCGGGTGCGTGAGTGGCTGCCAGCAGCTCTCTGAGGAAGACCGAGCCCTCTGTTTCTTGGATCTCTTCCACCAGTTTCGCACTTTGGCTTCAATGAGAGTGAAAAGAACACAATTATCTTGCGCCTGATCATGAAAAATGCTTAAGAAAAAGTTGCCAAGGCTTTGCTTGGATTCTGTGCTTTCCATTCTCCATTTGAGGCGCGAGTGCAGTCCAACCGCACCCCGTGCTGGCACGAACTTTCCATTCCGCAAATGCGCGGCAGAACTATGAGGACAGGTGTTTTTTGAGAAGTCTCTTGAATGATCGGAGCTGAGATGACAAGATGCGTTTCTATTCAACTTCGTGTGAGTGACTGGGAGGAGCTATGGAAGGGCCTCGACCAAGTGGTGGGCAATCTACCACAACTTCGGGAGGAAGCCTTGCAGGTTTCTCAGGCCACTGGGCTCTGCATTTTTTTGAAAACGACGTCAAAAGCCTTAGCACTGATGCCTTTTGAAGAGAAGAACAAGAACAATTTGGACTAAGATACTGACAAGGGCACTTATTGTGTTTTAAAGAAATGATGGCCGTATTGTTGGTTGTTCGTTGGGTTTTGCAGAGCTTGTGTGGCTGATAGATCATGGTTAGACTAAAGACACATCACATCAGTGATAGTTCAGAGGTTGCTGTGTTGAATTCATTCATTCGTAGTGTCCGCGCAGCTGCTGCGCTACGCGAGATTGTCTCGACGCTCTTGACTTCGGAGGCTGTTGCGCTGCCGATGCCGCAGCCTCGGGCTCGATGTCGCGACCCACTTCTTAGAAAGTCTTTCATCAGGTTGCATTAGTTGTAGTTCGGCGCATTTCAAATAGAATCTGCGCTACCAACAAGTTTGGCGGCGAAAGTGTAAAAACAAGCTTTCGTGTGAGGATAGGTGGTGCATTTTGCACCAAGTGTAAATGTGGATAAATGTATTATGGGTCCAAGTCGCTTAAGTTGGTTTTGGAGAAGAAACTATATAGTTTGCCAGCAATTAGCCACAAGCCTTGCCAGAAGGAGTTTCGCTGTGAAGAGAAGAACTAGACGACGGTTGGCCCGAGAGCGAGACATGTAATTGTCCAGCACTGTCGAAAAGATGTATAGAAAGAGAGAGAAAGAGAGGGTGGATGCGAAGGAGTGACAGTGTGATGCGCAGGTGCGATATAGATCTGTAGATGTATGGAGGTGGAGAGGTAGATCTGTGGATGTGAGCGTGCGAAGATGTAAATGCACAGAGACGAGAGAAAAGATATGTAGAAAGAAAGACAGGACAGATGTGAAGGAGCGACAGTGTGGATGTACAGATGTGATATAGATGTGCAGATGTGTGGGTGTGGTGAGGTGGAGAGGTAGATCTGCGGATGTGAGCGTGTGAAGATGTAAATGCAGAGAGGTGAGAGGGTGTAGATGTAGATGCGTCGATGCAACGGCAGTGCAACGTCAACCTTAGTTGTGCAAGTACAACGCTGAAGAGGTTCAAATAGAACTGAAGAACGTACATTTCACACTGAAGCTTCCACGAACAGGGCGACCTGAGAGTAAACGACGTCACGATCATGACAAGCGACTCGTGTATTCCAAGCAAGCATCGTTTGTCACTTAACTACACACATACTAACGTCGCCGTCGCAATGACTCTATTGTGGCAGCCACTTACGAGTAAGCAAAGTAGCTAAAATTTGTCAACCTCTCAAGAGAGCCGGGTGGTCGGGAGACATGACTCAGCTGCAGGGGCGCCAGAGCAGCCGCGAGAGATGACTCAGCCGCGAGAGATGACCATCCGCGTAAAAAATTGTACTACAACTTCGCCAGTTCTCAGCTTCCAGCTCCCCAGATACTCCGCGTACTAAAGTTGTACTACAAAGTCGCCAGTTCTCAGCTTCCAGCTCCACAGAT